GAAAAAAAAAAAAAAAAAAAAAGTTACCTCATCCTGCTAGGAATCCTATATTGGGGCACTTCTTAAAAACTATAATTACCTACAGGTTTCTACACATGCTACCACTTCTTATATTTGTCATGGTATCTGCACTAACCGAACTCATCAAAGTCAAATCCTTCACGGGGATTGGGATATCCTAGAAAAAAGAACAATAAATTAAGTAAAAAAAAAAAAAAAAGCTTAAAATCCTTTAAATTCACAGGTTGATTTTTTTTTACCTTTGTACAAAATCCCTTAAAATTTCATTTTCCTTATAAATTATATTAATGTTTCTTATTTAAAGTAGCATCATGAAATTTTATAAATTAATATCCAATGTCATCAGCTTACTTCTTCCTGTCCACTTACATTTCCTGTCTCAAAATTCTGTGGTACAGCATGAAAATTTATCTTTCTATATTCTAAAATTACTCTATGACTTCTATGTGATTCTAATTAAAATTAAAAGATAGAGAAAGGCTTAATAACTGCTTTAAAAGTTGATCTGGAATGTAAGGAAACTTCCTGAACCTAATAAAGGCCATATATGAAAAACACACAGTTAACATCATTCTCAGTGGTAAACAACTAAAATCTTTTCTCCTAAGACCACAAATAAGACAGGCTGTCCACATTTGCCACTTCTATTCAAATAGTATTGGAAGTTCTAGCCAGAGAAATTAGGTATGAAAAAGGAATAGAAGGAATCCACATTGGAGAGGAAAAAATAAAATTACTTGTTGGCAGATAACATGATCTTTTATGTAGAAAACCCCAAGGATTCCATATATTCACATACATGCAAAACCCTTTCTTTGCCCTAAGTATATATCCAAAAGAATTAAAAATAGGTACTCAAACAGATATGTGTACACCCATGTTCACAACAGCAATATTCACAACAGCAAAAAGGTGGAAACAACCCAACCCAAGGGTCTATCAACAGATGAATGAATAAACAAAATGTGGTATATACATATAATAGAATATTATTCAGCTGTAAAGAGGAATAAAGTTCCGATACATGCTGTGAGATAGATAAATGTTAAAAACATTATGCTAAAGTAGAATAAGCCAGACACAAAAGGGCAAGTATCGTATGGTTCCACTTACATGAGGTACCTAGAATAGGCAAATTCATAGAGACAAAAAGTGGAATAGTGGTTACCAGGTGCTGGGGAGAGGGGGGAATGGAGAGTTATTGTTTAATGGATAGAGTTTCAGTTTGGAATGAAGAAAAAGTTCTGGAGATGAATAATAGTGATGGTGGCACAACAATGTCAAAGTACTTAATGCCACTGAATCATACACTTAAAATGGTTAAGGTGGTAATAGAATAAAGTAAAAAGTTGACTTGGAAAATTAATATGAAAGTATCCTGGAAATTTCTAAAAAGCAAGTGTTTTGCCAGATCATAAAATTTACTGGGCTACAGTAAAAACAACACCCAAGAGACTTGATTCTGGCACAGGAATGGGTAGAGTTCAAAGGAGAAAAGAGGCTAAAACGCCTATGAATTCAGTGTATGATAAAAAGTGGCACCTTCAAATCAGCTGGGAGAAGAAAACATTCAGCAAATGGTGCTATTTAGCTTTTGCATATGCCATAATGAATTTCAGATGTACCAATGATTTAAATGCAAAAAACTAAGCCAGAACACGATTGAAATCTTTATATAAGAATAATGTCAGCATGGGGAAGATCTGAAGCTTTTATAAGAAAGATACAAAACTCATAGCCTTTAGGGAAAAGATGGATACATCAAACTACCTATTAATTTAAAACTTCTGAATATATGAATGACCACTGATGGGAGAACAGTTAAATAAAATATGGTATGTATTCAAGTCATCATTAAAAAGGGTAGGAATAAATCTAAATACAACCCCAATCCAAGACACTAAGTGGAAAAAGTGCAAGTTGCAGGCAAATATGTACAAATTGTCATTTTGTTTAAGAAAAAACACCAAACCACATGTGTGATTACACATCAAAAGATGCTGATGTACAGAAATAGATAAAAAGAAACCCTAAACTGTTAACAGTGATTAACTCAGGTAATGGACTAGAAAGAGAAAGAGAACTAATCTTTCACTGTGTATACTTTTGCAATGTTTGAAATTTTACAAAAATATATTTGTATACTACTCATGTAATTAAAAGTTATAAAAAGCAATCTATGCTCAATAATATAAAAAACTTAAAAGAAAACTGATCAGCAAAAATAAAGCAAAACTTGGAAAAAAATGTTCACTTCATATTAAAGGGGCTTTAATTTACAATGAGCTCTCAAATATCAACAAGAAAAATATTTTAGAAACCTAACAGAAAAATGGGCAAAAGACATGAATAAATAAACACAGATGATGAAAATGTTCAGCTTCATCAATAATTACAGGAATGCAAATTAAAACAAGACATCATTTTTCATCCATCACTTATAAAGTTCTTAATACTATCAGTAGGATAAGAGTTGCCAAACCTGGATAATTTGAAACTGGAGGCTTGGTAGGATGAGTAGGCTTAGGACCTAGGAAAATAAATTTGATTCTGTCAGTTCATCAGCCTTATGAATATAAAATTAGGGATTTAATTTTGATATTTGATTTTTTAAAAAGATTACCTACTTATTTATCAAAATGAAAAATACACATACTTTCTAAACTTTGCAGTTCTACTTCTGGGAATTTAACCTACATATATTTGCATAAGTACAGAAGGATGTATGTATAACACTGCTCACTACAGCTCTATATTTCATAATGGAAATCCTCACAGTTAACTAAGAATAAATCATAATAGTAATGTATTTGGGGTAAATATATGTATCTTTTAAAAAAAGGCATCCAAGTAGTATCATACTACATAATTTGCATCTTTACCACTATTTCTTAGATATTTTTTCACATTAGCACATTCATATCTACCTTAACACTATATATGTTGCTATTGATACTTTTGATACAGTCTTTCTCTAACTGATGATAAAAAATGATTGACAATCCCAGGAGGAATTCTGATTTTTGATTTTTTAAAAAAGATCCCTGTAGTTTCCCTTCTTTATAATTTTTTTTCATAAAATCAATTATCTCATCTTTCAAACACTAAGCTACATCAGTGTTTTACAAATCCTTTATGAAATACTTATAAGCATTTCAACTCTTTCAAAAGGATGTATCGACAGACTTAATATACATAGTGCATATACCCATGAGGAGTATGTGAGTAATCATGGATGGGTCAATGAATATAAATTTTACATGCAATCTAGTTTTGTTCATATGTCAGTCTACCAAAAAACGATCTCTTCTCCCTACCTCACTCACCAAACCTACAACACTCAACTAAGGTACTCAAGTAGGCTACCAAGTACCAGGTTCTTACAGGAATTATAAAAAGGTATTCTAATTACTATGCAAACATGCATAATTCCCCTCTATCGTTTAAAACATTAGGGAGATAGGAAATATATAAACAAATAAGAACCCAGTAATTGAGGTTTGAGTTCAACACCTTCTTTAAGCTAAAGGGATAGTAAACACCATGGAAATGATGTTAGTTGATTTAAATAGAGGCATACTAGAAGCCTGAGCATAGTCTAACCAGGCTAACACTCTTCCACAATTCCTATTGTCTCTTGCTTCCACTGCAAACAAAGTGAAGCCAGAGGCAGTAGTGCTGAAATAAGGAAGATAATTCCTTCTATTATATCAAAATAATCTCTCCAGTGTTAAGAATGGCGGTTGGTCAGTAGTCCCTGTAAAAAAAAATTCCTACATTTCATTAAATAAGAACTTTTCCTGCCTCTTAGTTGCTATGAAGTTTAGTTCTGTTCCCAAATAAAACTGTCCAGGAAAGAGTAAAAAACAATTATTATATGAAGGAGGGTAGTGTGGCAGGGAGGAGGTAGAAATACATGTCTTGTTCTGGAGACAGCAGAAATTTCCCAGTTTAAACGTACTACATAAAAAGAATTGAACTGTTGCATTCCAGGAAATCAAACACATACCCTGGACTAGGTAGGTACCCAGTAAAGAGGTCAACAGATCGCTTTCAAAAAGAATAAAATAATAGAGATGATGACACAGAAAACATACATATTAACATATAAAAGCCATGGACCTTCCTCTTCTCCAGTATTAACTCAAGTGGTGACTTAAGTCATATTAGCCACCTTTAAGAGCTTCCTGCATACCAGGCAATGTGCTAAGTGCTTTAAATGCATCCCCTTTAAGCCTTACTATCATTCAGTAAGGAAGGTACTAAATCATTTTACAAATGACTAAACACACTTAAAGACCACGTAACTTTCCCCAGTTCACATTCCTGTTCATATATGCAGACTGTAACAATTTTAGTCACTATGTCTAACAGCTAAAATTGTTGTATAAATGTTCTTCCTCCTTTCATTACCAAAAGTGATGAATGAGTGAACATCACCCGGAATTTAAATGAGACTTGAAAAATGTAAGCAGGAAGTTACTAAACCTGAAACACTGGAAGTTGAAAGTTTCGTACTGGCTAAAATTGTTGTATAAATGTTCTTCCTCCTTTCATTACCAAAAGTGATGAATGAGTGAACATCACCCGGAATTTAAATGAGATTTGAAAAATGTAAGCAGGAAGTTACTAAACCTGAAACACTGGAAGTTGAAAGTTTCGTACTGGAAGGAGTCAACACTGGAAAACAAAATAATGTAAACTGAATTGACCATTTGGCAATTATTACTCTCATTTCATTTATATGAATGCCTTTAAGTGTTGACTTATTTAGATAAAAATGTCTGCCCATTCTTCAATTTACTCTGAAAATCTGATGCAATCCATTTTTTATACATAAAAATATTGAACAAGAGACATTTATGTACCTGTATGACATGAATAAACCCTGGAAAAACATACAAAATCACAACAGCAGAATTCTATGTGAATTTTATATCCTACATCTGACATAGGAATGAATACCAGAGAGTTAAATACTAAAACTGCTTCTTTTCTATTATTCTGTTGATATTTAATGTCAAAGAAATTAAATCCAAAAAAAAAAAAGGAAAAAGGACAATGTTTGTACCTTTAAGACACTCTGGAATCGGAGGCTGCCAAGTGCTGTTACCTTCACAGACAACTGTGTCACTGCCATTAAGGTAGAAACCCTCGATGCATTCAAACATAACCATTGCTTTGTAGGAAAATTTTTTTCCAAATCCTGAAATCTGTCTTCCATTTTTGAGTACTGGAAATGGACACTTGACCACTGAAAAACGGAGAAACCCAAGAATTAATATAAATCTGCTTTAGCATAGGACCAGGAAAGGTAGTACAGAGTTGTAATTTCCAGT